GGCCTTGTTTCTTTCTAGGAGGAAACTGTTGTCTTTTAGTGTGTTTGTCGGATGCTTGATAGCCTATCATAAATCAGTCCACTCATTTTCTACGGAAAAAAAAGTAAAAAATGAGTGAATTGATTTATGGTAGTTGTTGAGTATCGAAAATTTCATGTTTTACTTTGAACCATGGCGCGCGTTTCGGTCTTTTTAGTCTTTACGTTGAAAATTACTTATGATTCCAAATTCCCTTAAAGACTGGCATCGAGCTGGCATCCTCTCAGTCTGTCCGTTGAATGACTTGATTCCCGAAATTCTAGATCCCTACATTTGGAGTTTTAGGGATTTAGAATTTCGGGAATCACCCATTGTGTTCTGGCATTCTCACTCTTACTAAACGTTGAGGATCAATTGAAACTACGTTTCACAGGACATTCCGAATGTTAGAAATGAAGTTCCAAATGTTAATTTAACATTCCGAATGTTTGCATCGTAGGCTATAGAAATGAGTACTGTGTTTTTTGCTTCAATGTAAAATCCTACCCTCACTTGAAGTGCCTTCTTCACTGTTGTACTTCGTACAAATATCACACTATCATTTGAGCAGGGTCTTGCCTGCATACCTACTACTAAGAGATTTTGGGTCACATCTCGAGGAAGTCTTATTATTAATTGGTTGATTTTCAATTTGAAGTTGTCTGGTGATAGTGCATGATGACCTCTTCAATTGTGGCTATCATGTGCGAAAATCAATTTCATTCATCTCTGCTGGTGGAACCCCTTCAAACTGTAATATCACAAATATAATAAAAGGGCTCTCCTGTTTGAATGAATATTCTTCAAATTGCTTGCACAAAGCTAATACCGTAGTACTAGTCATTTTAGGTAGTTCCAGAGCAACTCTTGCTGTCGTTTCAGTGTGTGAAGTAGGTTGCACTGCTATAGGAGGAACATAAATGAAGCAAAACAAAACTCCTGTCAATATGACTGGTCTTAAACTATGGAATGACCAATACTGGGTCACTTCATAATCATTATCATTACTCATCACAGTTTCTTCTTGTGCATCATGCTGTGACTCCAAATTTTTAAATATTCATCAATAACATCACTCAAACTGAGAACTTCAAGCCAAAGAACTCTGCAAGTAATAGTTGCCCCCAAAAACTGGCAGAGATATCACCTCCTCATCAAATGAATCTATTCAATTTCAATGTTCTCGTGAATAGTCACTATCAAGTTTCATTGTATTGTATAGGAATGTGCATTTTTCGTTGATCATCCTCTCTCGAATAGAAGAAACATACTCCAAATATGGGTTCGAGAAAAGGAAGAGGTTTGATGAAAAGGGAATTCGCACTGAGCGCTTTGTGTGATAATTACTGCCAAGCTTGCTATTTATCAACGATTCTCGGAGAGCATATCCATCAGACCGATATTTTGCTGTCCAATAAATCCATTCCTCCGATTATGTGGTCAATACTGATGACCCCCGATGCACGAAAGCTATCCACTTCGTTCTTCCAAAATAATGGCGTCAAAAGATTCATTTTTCTTCAAATTCGTTGTCATCGTTTGCGAAATTGTTTACAAATTCATCGAATTCATTGTCCTCATCTGCGAAATTGTCTAGGAAATTTTCAAACTCGATCTCGGAGCCATCGTTCGTTTCGTCAACTATTGGGACGTCATCGAGACTCGTCACTGAGTGTGCATCCTTCCATAGCCGCTGTAATAGCAAATAGATGTTGCGTATCGAAACCAAAATACTTATAAACATGAACCAAAATGCAAGAGTGGGAAGACAGAGCAACAACAAAAATGCCACACACAATATTGCCGTCAGTTCTTGACTGAGAATGAACCACACCCTGCATTTCTGCCTCGTACAAAATGTTTCTTCGTCCGCTTCTCCATCTTGCACCACTAGACACTCTTCTTCCGGGTCCTCTTGTTTGTCATATGCCTCGGCCTGATAGAGAGTTATCGTCGCCAACTTGTAGGTTCGCATAAGTGCCGTGAACCATCTGTGCGTTTGCAAAAGGAGCGAATTGTTAGCACAGTACGAGACAACCGGAATGGCAGTACTAGCTTTAGGGGCATTAGAAAAGCGGAAAGAAGCTATCCCGAAACCAAAGATTCACTTACAAGAACAAAGACTTATTTGCGAGTATGGCCTCTTGTTTGCTGATATAAGTTTCAAGACCACATATACCATGAAATTTATCGATCAGCAGCCACAAAATTGCTGGGTATACACCATACAACGCTAGTGCCACACCAAGATCTTGATTGCCAGACGACAGAGGCTTGTGGATCCGTTTTCGGACGTATGTTACGAATACGATTACTCCCATCGTTATTCTTTTCCTCGACGTCTCTATTGATTGTCTTCAGTGTGTTGTCAATGTTACGAAGAACTCGAAACAGGTGAGACTGGGACTACGTTCTGTAGTTCGTTTTACGGAGGTAGCGATAGGAGTTCGTACTTGTGCTACGTACAGCATAAGTACAGAATGAGTAGGAGTACGGTACGACTTCACAGGACTTTCGCACAGGTACGAGTAATGTCTTCGTAGCCTAAAGTACATAACGGTATTAGTCGTGATCGTGATCACAAGATGTTGTCATGATGTCTCACGAAAGGCATTTTCAAACGTGTACGTGACTTTCCATGACCGACGTGGGTTGTGGGTAAAAGGACAGACGTCGTTTCTTCCATAACCATTCATCTCTGATTTTGAACGCTTGAACAAATACCCTCCAAGTACGAAAAATGGTGGAAGCACAGAAAGAGAGGAAAAGTCTTGTTGCTTCTTCCGCCGCCGCCCTCGAATGAAACAATTCACCATATTCGATCTATTCTTAACAATTACTGGGCATCTCATATGCATCCGTGGAACAAGGCTCACTCCAAAGAAGAAAAGGAATAAAACTAGCATATCACAATCGCATTCACGAATATGGCACCGATAAATGATGAACACAAGGATCTGGCTTTGGTACCAGAATCCGTCCTTAAGAAGCGACACGATCTCGACGATCTTCGACGAAAGAGGGCGGCCCAGGAAGAGAAGAAAGTTTCGAAACGAAAGGGTTCCTACGTGAGGAAGCCAGCAACGTTTCTAGCAAAAGCTAAGCAAAGAAGGAACGAGCAGATTCGTTATCGCCGTGTAAAAAAAAAAGGAATGCAAAAAAAGGCCTCGAAGAAAACAGAAATCAAAACAAAGGAAATAACAGTTGCGGGTAACGAAAGTGATTCCGAAAGCGAAGAACAGGCACATATTATCCAATACAAGGCAAACTCCGTTGGAAGTCCGTATGTTTTCGTTATTCGCATCCGAGAAGATGCCGGCCACCCTCCGAGGTGCGTCTTAAATATTTTACACCAGCTGCGCCTGAAAGATCCCAACACGGGAGTGTTCGTTCGTTACGATGAAGTAACCAAGAGACATTTACATCTGGTTGAACCCTGGGTTGTTTATGGCAAGCCATCCGATGGCCTTGTGGGAGATTTGATGGAACGTAAATCGTTTGGAACCGTCAAGGGCGAAAAGGTTCCTCTCTCCGACAATACGATCATTGAAAATGCACTTGGCAACGAACACGGAATGATATGTATGGAAGATTTAGTACATGAATTAACGACTGTCGGCAAATCATTTGAGGCTGTTGCTACTTTCCTGCGGCCATTCCCTCTTTCGGCAACCCGAAGCAAGTTTGAAAAGAATCTTTTGTCTCTGAAACAAGGAAAAGATTATGGTGACAGGGGGGAAGAGATTGACGAGTTCATCAAACAAATGTTATAGAATGCTATACATTGGCACGACATTAGAGAACAAGTGTAGAATAATTGGAATATATAATTCTTCGCGCTATCGGAAGATTACTACGAATTGATTTCGCTAAAACGTTGAGATATCTGCTACCTTCACGAAGATTAATTCGCGCCGAGAACAACTTGATTTGGGGCAAAGTGGTATTCATTTAATCTCAAATTCTATAAACAATATTCAAATCCTTATTTGAATCGTAGACGCAAACGATGTACGTTGATACTCTGCAAACAACTCCCTTGAGTATCAACCCTGTTGATCGCCACTTCTTCTTGTGACTTCATTCTTATTGCTTTTTGTTTGCTCTTTGTTATATACGTAATAATACTAGTATATATAAAAAAATTATTTTGAAAAATATTGATCATGCACCAGTACTGGAAGAAGGTAGTACTAGTAGTAATAGCAGCAGTACTCATACTACTGCCACTAGTAGTAGTATGGCCAAGAAAGTATGGTTGTTTAAACTATACATTTTGTTGCCTGGTAGCACTGCTGGAGAGCCCCCGATTGCACATTTTTTAATACCACGTGACATTCACAAAACTTTGTATATTGGAATGGGTTCTCCTTTTTGGGGTCTCATAAAAGATCCATTCGAGGGAAAGTCAAAAATAAAGTTAATTGATTGAGTTGCTGTGAGTAATTAACTTGAGTAATTAAATGAATTAACTGAGTCACTGTGAGTAATTAACCCTCCTGTTGATTAAGTTAATTAACTAATGTCACTTTCACTTCTACTACTCCTACTACTCCTACTACTACTACTACTACTACTACTACT